TTTGACCTTGAGTTATGCCCAAGGTCGACCTCAAGGTCAAATTCAAGATCACCATCAGATAGATCTCCCGAAATCCTGCAAATTTTGTCTGAACCATTTTTTTGTACAAACACATCCCTACCTTTTAAAAGGGTGGTATGGGTGCTCTGAGACACCCGGTATATCTCTCCTTCATAAACTTGAGTAGCAAGAATAATTCAATAGAAGTAGCATTTTACCGGAAAAAAATTATAAACCAGCATTTCTTTTCAAAAAAGAAAGTCTCGAAAGATCATCATAAAAGAAATGCGTATGTTCGAAACTCGAGACTTATGAAGTATGCGGAAAAAAATCGAATAGTTGCAAAAAGCACATTTTTTGCTTATAAAACGAAATATATTGATTGTATGGAAAAAAATTCCGTAGAAATATAAGTATTCGAAATACCTACAAAATAAGTTGGAATATTAAAATCGATTTATTAGTTCAATAGAAAAAAAAATAAAAAAAACATCGAAAAAGGCCTTTTTTTTCATTCGCTCTGTGTTAATTGAGATTTAAACGCAAAGCTTTGAAATTCTTATAAAATGTAGCCCTCGTAATAACGAACAAATCTAGCTCTGAACAAGTCTGAAAATGTTCATTAATTTTTGCAAAAAGCCATTTGTTCATTAAAAACCTGCGGAAAATTTAATTTCTTCATCTTTGAGCAGTCGCACAGCAATTTACAGGGATTTTGCTTCTATAGTTTAACTGCAAAAAACATTGTTTTATTATGTTTTTTGCAGTTAAACTATTATAAAACGATTTTAAAAAGTGGGTATCTATTTCCATATAAAAAAATGAAAATAATTTCGTTAATATGCATCATATCAAATAGTCGTGTGAAACATTCGAAATCTGACATTTTATAAATTTAAAAAAAAAGATTACCCTCCGATTAGGAGCTGAAATAACAATTTTTTTTCAAAAGTCACTATGGTTCTAGTTTTTAAGATTAAGAGTTCTGTCTGGCACCAATTTGTCAAGGAAGAATTGAATTTTTGCAGTTGAAAAACTCGAATTTTTTGCTACCGAAAAAGTTTATTTAAAACCATTGCAAAGTTGAAAAACGCGAGCGAAGCAGTGCGCCGGACGGAGTGAGAGAAGCAGGGTTGAAAAAATGTGTTTAAAAAAAATAAAACATTCAGTTTTGTTTGTTTAAAACATGTTTTTAATGTTTTATATATGTTTTAAATAGTTTTAGAAAAAAATCGCGTTTAAAACAAAAAAACACCTTTTAAATATATATTTTATTAAAACGCATTTTCACTTTCAAGTATTTTGAAATGTTTCTGAGGTACATTTTAGCATTTAATTACACTTACTTCTTCATTTTTTTTAAATTTAAATGTATTATCACATAAATATATGTATATTTGAACGTGTTGTTTGCTATTTATTTGACTCTATATATATTAAGTTATGCAAATTTAAACAATAGCATGGCATTTTGCTAATGTGGTTCTTTATGCGTATTGATTATTCATGGCTTCTTTTTGAGATTTTTATTTCAAAATAAATTATTCCTTGAACTAATTGTAGTTTTAATACAATATTAATCTATAATTTACGTTACTATAGATTTTTATAGACTACCAAGCTGCTCATAGAGTGTTTAGAAAATAATAACAAATCTTTCGCATAGGGGCAGAATGGATTAAACTGAGAAGAAAAGTACTCTAGCATTTTGCAATTTTCATAATAGTTAACAAGATATTAATTGTTAAAAATTGATGAAAATTGGCCTTCAATAATTTTTATTCAAATACTATCAACTTTACAGAAACACTGCAAGAGACAAAAATTGTTCATTTTCTTCTCATAGAACTCTACGAATTTTTTCAGAATTTTTTATCAACTTTTTAGTACTACATTTTCTCATTTTTATCAATATAAGAAAATACGGTATTAAAAAATTCTGAAAAAATTCTTAAAAATTAGAGCTCTATAAAAAGAAAATTAACAATTGTCTCGTGCAGTTTTTCTGTAAAGTAAACTTCTGTAAACAACATTTTAATAAATATAATTATCAAGTTTTAAACTTAAATATTCATTATTAACCAAGTAAATCAAGTTATCGTGTAAAATGTAATTGGAGTATCACCTTCTCTTCTACTAAATAGTATTAAAAATATATTTTAAAAAAATAACGTTTTAAACATTTATTTCAAATTATTTTAAAAAAAAGCATGTTTAATTTAATCTGATATTTAAAACATGTTTTAAACATTTGTTTAAAAAACAAAAGTTTTAAACAAAACAATCCTGGAGGGAAGCCGGCGCGCAGTCGAGTGGGAAAGATCGGTCTGCTCGGTGATTAACGCGTATTTGATTTCGTGCATTAAAATTTGCTAAATTTACATTTTTAGTAATAAATTGACGTGGAAACTTGATTCTTTTAAATCTGGGATAGCTCGACGAAATATAAACAAATAGCTTAACCAAATGTTTCGCAAAGTAATTGTAACCATAAAATTTTTAGTTTTTTGTAAAATTTTAGTTTCTTGAATTTTTATTTTTTCGGTTTATTACTAAAAAATTACGTTTAAGTATGGAGTGCATGTCTGATTAACAAATTTAAATCACATTAGCTGTGTTTCTTTATTTAATATGCTGTAAAAAGTGTCCAATTGGACAATTAAATAATTTGCCAAATGTGTAATTATCGAATATAGTTGCTAAATATTTTTCATGTAATGATTTTTTAATAATAAACCGAAAAAATAAAAATTCAAGAAAAAATTTTTTAAACTAAAAATTTCATGGTTACAATTCGAGATTTTTTTAACAGCAAATTCAATTCTTCCTTGACAAATTAGTGCCGGACAGAACCTTAATCTTAAAAACTAGAGACACATGATTTTTTTGAAAAAAAATTGTTATCTCGGTTCCTAATAATCAGAGGGTAATCTTTTTTTTTAAATTTATAGAAAAACGTCAGACTTCGAATGCTTCACACGGCTATTTGATATTATGCATATTAACAAAATTATTTCCATTTTTTTATATGGAAATAGATACCCACTTTTTAAAACCGTTTTATAATAGTTTAACTGCAAAAAAATCGTTTCATTAAGTGTATATGACAGTGCAACTCTTGAAGAAGCAAAATCCCTGTAAATTGCTGTGCGACTGTTCAAAGATGAAGAAATTAAATTTTTCGCAGGTTTTTAGTGAACAAATGGCTTTTTGCAAAAATTAATGAACATTTCAGGCTTGTTCAGGGCTAGATTTGTTTGTCGTTACGAGAGCTACATTTTACGAGAGCTACATTTTACGAGAGCTATGAGAATTTCAAAGCTTTGCGTTTAAATCTCAATGAACACAGAGCGAATGAAAAAAAGGCTTCTTTCGGTGTTTTTTTATTTTTTTCTACTGAATTAATAGATCGATTTTAATATTCCATGTCTTATTTTATAGATTTTTCGAATACTTACTTTTTTATATCGATTTTTTTTCCATATAATCAATATCTTTCGTTTTATAAACGACAAACGTGCTTTTTGCAACTATTCGATTTTTTTTCGCGTTACTTTCTTCATAAGTCTCGAGTCTCGAACATACGCATTTCTTTTATGATGATCTTTCGAGACTTTCTTTTTTGAAAAGAAATGCTGAATTAAAATTTTTTCCGGTAAAATTTTGCTTCTATTAACTACTTTTGCTACTCAAGTTTATGAAGGATAGATATAGTATATAATGCGCATGAAAAATTGTAAATAATTAAATATCTCGTAAACTGTTGCGTTTTAACATGATTTATACTATTTTGGATTAAGGAGAGGGGTACACTATTATTACAATTTATTAAAATTTATATATTATTTAGGATGCCCCCCGCTCCTTATTGATGCTTAGAGCGGCCGAGCGGCCGAGATTGCCGAGAAAACATTTTCGGTCGCTTGAAATAAGCTACTAGTGGGAGAAGGAGCTCGCCGTCTCGTTAACTCTCGGCGCGCCGCAGGCGAGGACTCGTGCTTGTTTGTGTTACAACGCCGCACCACGATAAATGGCTCACTTATAGGCGTAGAAAAGTGACGATTTGACGACGAAATTTATGTTGCGTGCCATTTCGTTATTATTTGTAAAAATGTGATTTGTCTCGTACTTATCGAAGTCGTAATTATCGATGAAAACTAAAGTTATTTTGGAATTTTATATCTAAAAGCGTATATTTTACTCGTTTGAACAGCTGTCGGACCGTGTATTTCTGCCCGAATATAGGCTTTACGTGCTCCTTTGACGACCATTTACTAACTGTCAAAGGAGGAAAGGACAGTTTTTATCGATTTTTACAAGTGTTTTAAAGTGATCTCATCATTTCGTTTCATCCAAATTGTCTTTATTTAAAAATGGCACGCAACATAAATTAACATTTCATTCGTCACTTCTGACGTCACGATTTCAACATGGCCGTCGCGACTAATCAGGAGCCTTAAAATTTTACTAGAGATAGAAATTCCAAATAAAGATATTACGTGCCTGTAACAATAATTTGGCGCAGACCAGACGGTCAATACAGTCTCGTTAAAGTGCCACTTGTAGCCCTCCATTACTAGTTGATGAGCTCGACATATCATATCGATATCATTGGCAGAATTGAACTGAGCTACCACGTCGCTACCAAAGAGATAACCGGCGCCGCGCGGCGACACACCCCAGCCTTGAGTATCCTCAGGATCTGACCATAGTAAATCACACATTGGCCCATCGTGAGGAACCTGCATCATTAAACGGGAAGTATGTAAACACTTCAACGCCTAAAAAATCAAAGATTTGAACTTTTAAATATAATAAAAAATTTAATTGATATTGAAACTGTGCGGTGTTGAATAGGGCAGTTCTAGGGTAGTTGTTCGTCAAACACAAAAGATTCAAGTTCAATGAGAATTTGACCAAGATTTATTGCTATCCCGAATTTTTAACATTAAGAATTTTGAATAAAAAATATTTAAAAACAATAAATAAAAGGAACATAAAGCATAACGCTGAGACTTTTTGCTGAAAGTCTTGTATTTAAAATAATTCCGTTAATTAATAGAAGAATTAATCGTAAACGTTTCGGCCGAAATTAAGCCATCTTTAGTATATCATATAAATAAAAATTAGTGTAAATTAGTGTAAATTAAATAAAAATAAAATGTCAAATTGATAAAATAGTTATAAACAAAGTTGATGTAGAAGTCAATAAAATAAACATAATAAGATAATAAGTCAGATTACATTAGGTTTGTTTTCTGTTCCCAAAATGGCGTCAGCTTTTTTTTTGTTCTAGTGCAACAGTACAAAGTGCATAACTCAGTGCATAAAAATTCACTGGCTGCATTAGTATAGTCTGTTCGCGTTGCTTGGAATGTTCAAATATTTTTGCACTTAAAATGAGATAGATATACAGGATGTCCCATTTTAATCGATCATCTCAAATATCTCTTGAACAGTGCGTTTTAGGGAAAAATGTTTCAGACAAAAGTTTTGGGAATTTGAGGGGGACATAACGTGATACCATTTGACCTTGGGTGATGTTGTCAAGATGAGGGTAAGACTTTGAATATTTTAAATGGAACCCTTCATATTTCATTACATATTCTTGTAGATTACTTCCAGAGCTTCCCAAAATACTATAATTCATTTTCATTAAGTACTTTTCGAGTTATAAGGCTTGCAAGTTACAACACCGTCATTTTTACACTAAAAATTCATTTCTATCTAAAAATGAAAATAAGAAATACAACCTTCAATGGCCTTGACAAATGTTATCCAGGTTATGATCCCGAACAACGTCCAAAAGATTTTAGTCGTCGATCGGACATCTTGGATAATGCTAATGCTAACGGTGCTGTAACTTGCAAGTCTTATAACTCGAATAGTACTTAATGAAAATGAACTTAATTATAATGCTTTGGAAATAAACTACAAGAATATGTAATGAAATATGAAGGGTCCCATTTAAAATATTCAAAGTCCTCATCTTGACAACGCCACTCAAGGTCAAATCAATGGTATCATATTATGTCCCCCTCAAAATCCCAAAACTTTTGTCTGAAATATTTTTCCCTAAAACGCATTGTTCAAGAGATATTTGAGGTGATCGATTAAAATGGGACATCCTATATATCTATCTCATTTTAAGTGCAAAAATATTTGAAGATTTCAAGCAACGCGAACAAACTATATTAATGCAGCTATATTAATGTACAGTGAATTTTTATGCACTGAGTTCTGTTGCACTGGAACAAAAAACAGACGACGCCATTTTGAGAACAGAAAACAAACCTCAAAAAGAAGGTCCAAAAAACGTTCTAATGCAAGATAAAAATGGCGTCCCATATTGTTTATATAGAAGTATTAGATTCGTATGATGAAAATGAAAGCATCAATGTAATTTCATCATTAACCAAATTCTTTAATTAAGAATTTGGTTAATTCATCATTATGAATGTACAAAATGTTTTTGTATGTAGCTATCATTTTTACATATATTTTTATCGTTTTATTACTCATAAACTCTCGCACTATTTGTACACTCACTGATTAAAAGGTTGCAGATTTTTTCTATGGCTTTCGAAATGCAGTTTACTCACCTACTTATGGATCCATAAGAACCAATCGCTCAGTGAGCAGACTGCATTCCGAAACCCATTAAAAAAAGTGTTGCAACCTTTTAGTCGGTGACCAAAAAGAACAGGCCTATTGACTCCAGATTTAGTGCAGCCAGTACAGTGAACTCGTGCACTGAGTTCTATTGCACTGAAATAAAAAACAGCTGACGTCATTTTGGGAACAGAAAACGCTTTAGTGTACACTTTTTGAATTAGTGCAAGCAGTGCAGGAACAGAAAACCAATCTTTTAATTAAGAATTTTTTAAATGGTGGAATTGAATTAATACTTTTATTTTCATCACACGAATCTAATACTTCCATGTAAACAATATGGGATGCCATTTTTATCTTGCACTAGAACGTTTTTTATTCCTTGTCTGCATGCTTAACTCGTCAGTTCTAGATTGCATTAATTCAGTTTAGTTCTAGTATAATCCTAATACAAAAACATAAAATAAACCTATTACCAGTGAAATAATTTATAAATAATTTATAAATGTAGCTCTAAATGTTTGTTTGAATTAACAATTCTATGATAATATTCTTTCTTTCACTTAAAATTCGCGTTTTGTATTATTACACAACTAGTGAGTCCGATATGATAGTTCTGTGTTCAGCACAACAGCATTATCAGAGTCACTTAAAAAATATTTTACTAATAAAAAATTAATAATAAATTTCAAGATATAAAAATACTAAGGATAATAAACCAATCACAGTAATGTGTCATGGAGGATAGAAACCTTAAACAATAATATCAATAAACAAGTTAAAATAAAATCTAATTCTCCATACAGAGAGATTAGGCAAAAGTTCCTCAAATTAATTCTGTTTAGGGACAGTTCAGTATCATTACAATATTATTATGTAGCTTTTTATCATGTATAATGGCTGCGTTCAGTAGTAAAAGTAGCTTTACAATTGTTGTAAGTCTATAATATGATCGGTTTATCCTTAGTTCTTTATCCGGATGTATAAACCAATCACATTAAAGAATCTTATAATAGTTATGCAAAGTTGTTTTTTTTTATATCACTGTCAATAGTTGCAGAATCGAGATACTGATTCTGATAATTTTTTCCTACAAAAGCAAAGTTTATAATTCCTTTTTACAAAAATAGCAATTTTAAAATGGTTCTTTAGTAAAGTATCGAAAATTTGGGATGCCTCATCAGGACCCAAAATCACAAACATTTTCATAAATTGGATAAAACATTAAAACTAAATATATATCTTAATGAAATATACAAAACACATGATAGCGTGCAAGTGATGAAATAAAAAAATACTTCTTGTATAATTTGTTTTTGTGACAATTTGATAACCTATATTGTCGAATTACAATGTGCATTGCAAGCGAGATTTTTATAAAGAAAAATTTATAAAAAAGAAAGTTGAAGAGAAAAGGGAAAAATTATTGCAATCTGTAATGAAATCAAGAGCTATATTTTCAAACAAAAATAAATTGAGATTATATTAATTGATATCTTGCCATTTTAACATTAACCCTTTTGTGGTCACCAGGAGTCCATGGGACTCCAAAAAAAGTTTGAGGCTTTACATCTCTAAAAAAAATCATATTCTTATGTTAAACAAATACTTTTTTATACAATAACTTCACACTTCTTATAAAACTTCACATTTATTTTATGATTAAAAACGATTTCCTTTATTCTTTAGAATAAATACCTTTTTTGAAACATGGACTATTGCACTATTTTTTTTTCTAGAAGTATCATATCTGTAGAGTATAACCATAAATTTTTATCAAAAGTATTAAAAATTAAAAAGTTATGATTTCTTTTTAATAAAAAAGTGCATCTTTCAAGAACTTTTACCTTGCAATTTTTTTTAATTAAAATAAAAGTTTTTTGAAACTGCCACTGCATTTCCACGTTTTACAATTCAGTTCAGTAATTTTTGTGATTTTAAAGAAAAGTTGTAAATATAGCAATTAATGATGTGTTAGGGCAATTTTGTCCTCTCTATGACCGATATAAAATTTTCAGGAAGTATGATCACGAAGGATTAAATATCTTTCCAGAATGACCGTTGACCTACTATTACTTGTTCATCAATCATTACAATCATAATTTTTTATCTACTATTATAATCCTGTTTTTTTTTTTTAGAAAGGCAATATTGTGTGCAGTCAAAGAAATATTTCCAATCCTTACCTGTCACTAAGTTATGTGTAAGTTAAAAGTTACATTTTCAATATTTTTCTCTTTCATTTCATTGTTAATCTACCCTAGAATTTTGCACACGTCAAGTTCAGTATTTCAACTTCATTATATGTATAAAGAAAATAGACATTTCTATGGTAACTCGATTTACTAAAGAACCACCTTAATGAAATCAGTTTGGAAGCTTTGAAACATACACAGTCACAGATCTGTGAGGTGTGTACAATCAAACAACATATTAAAACTGCAACATCAATAAGACAAAATAAATAAATATCAATTCCATTCGATTGTTACAAAAAAATTATGATGAACAGAACGTAACTCACTTCTTGCTTTCTGTCGATAGTTCGAATTTGATCTAATGTTTGAATACTAGGCGATAATCCACCATGAACACAAAAGATCTTGCCATCGATAATAGCAGATAATGATAAATAGTCGAATATCTCTGTGCAATATCGCCATACTGTTATACTGCCGTATTTGCGTAAGCACTCGTCATAAAAACCATAAACTTGTGTTATTTGCCGTGATTCATGATTTCCTCTTATTAAAGTAATTCTGTCAGGATAACGGACCTGTGACAAGACATAAACTATAAAATTATATTATAATAGCATATGTCAGCTATTTTAGATTTAATTCTTCTTAAATAATTTTTATTCAAATATAAAGATAAATTAAAATTCATACATTCATATAAAATAAAAAAGCAACTTGTGTTTTGCTTCGTAATCACTATTCAGACATTTAACGTTATTAGGTTTATATTGTTTTATTTTGGCATACCTTTAATGCAAGTAAAAGAAGAAATGTTTCAACACTATAAAAACCTCGGTCTACAAAATCTCCCATAAAAAGATAATTTGTTTCTGGCACATCGCCACCTACTTTAAATAGTTCCTTCAAATCATAAAACTGTCCATGGATATCTCCACAAACCTAAAGAAAATACATTATGTAAGATTTAACATGTTTAACATTCTGATTCTTTTTAATAAGAAATAGAAATATTTACTGTCACAGGTGAGTCAACACGTTGTACATTGCTCTCCTCAATCAGAATCTCTCGTGCCTTTGCGCACAGAGCTTTGACCTCAGCCTCCTTGATAATCTCACATTTCTTAAGCTGCTCGATTTGCCGATCCAAGTCACTGGACTCGGCCATTGTATGGCGTGGAGTTGAATTAATTGAAGTTGTTTACTGGAAAATGCAGCTGTTGCTAATTGTTCCCACCTGTAAGAGTCTTTGCAATCTCGGTTAGCGCTTTAGGACTCACAGAACTGATATGAATCGTGAAATAGCTGTCAAATGAACACGATTCAAGTAACAGAAATCAAGAGTGCATACACACGATGTGAAAGAAATTACATGCCACACATAGTACTTACGGGTTGTCGTCGTCGTCGTCGTCGTCGTCGGCACTGGGGATTTCACTGCCGTAATCGATGCATTGAGCGAATCACCGCTGAATTTCTCTTAATCAAATTACAGAAGAAACGTCTCAAACGGGAGTTTTGTATTGGGAAGAGTGTTGAAAATTCGCCGAACTTTCTTTAATGTTGCAGATCAAGCAACGAATCACTCGTAGTTACTCACTGGGCCGACACTAAAGGTTACCAAAGGACTGTTTTTTATCCTGCACTAGACCGCACTAGAACTTGATTTCTTGCTTTTGTCAAATATCAAACATGTCATTTCATTTAAGTTTTCAAAAGTATATATTAGCTCAATCACAAGAAAACATATCTCAATTATACCAAATTGTTTAACATAAACATGGAACTCTCACCCTCTCGACGAGTGAAATGATAGTGAAGTGAAAGGCTCGTCTACACAACAAGACGTAATGCTGAATTCGCACTGGATCTGACGTGCGTCATACGATGCTCTGCAATCAATCAGAAAATAGAATATTGCTTTGTATCATCGAAATAAAATTCTGCTTTCTGATTGGTTGCAAAACATCGAAGACGCACGTCCAATGTGAATCCAGCATAAGGGTGAAATCACACGTGCGGAAAACGACTGTGGAATAGAAAATGCATTATTGGGCGCGTTAAAGTTTAAAAAGCGGCTAACCTGCTCATCAAGAAAATGAGCATAATTGATTGTTACTTATAGATCAAACTAATCATATTCAATCGCTCGGTAAGCATGCCTAGCCGCTTTGCCGTCTTAGGGTGCGATTACATGGAGCGCGGTACAATAAGGATAAAATCACAGTGCGGAAAACGATTGCGGAATAGAGAATGCGTCATAGAAGCAACGTTCTTTTTCGTTATTCTGAATAGCGCTAATTGGTTGTTTCAATGGTGCATTCTCTATTCCGAGCCCTTTTCCACACCGTATGATTTCACCCTAGTAACTAACTAGGCAACTAGTACTTTCCATCTACGACACAGCGATCACCTCATCCTTGTTTAACATTGGTGAACACAAGGATGTAATTTGCTTGTGTCACTTCTATGTCTCTTGTTGAATAATAATTTTATACAATACGTAGATACAATTTTTTACATTAAAATGATCCAGATGACTTATGTACGTACTTCTTATTTCGTATCCTATGTGTAAAATGGAAATACTCTGAAGCACCAACCGAAAATTGGCAATCATAACCAGTGTTCGACAGTGCTTTTCTGCTGTGTCTAATCGTGCCGTGCTGCCATGGCGTGACGTTGTTGAAAAGCACGCTGTGTCGATATGTGTCTTGATGGAAAGCACCCGAAGCTGCTGTGTCCAATTGTGTCGTGGCGTATCGTTGGAAAGCATTGTGTCCGACACTGTTTCGATGTGTCGCCTAAAAGCCTTGATGGAAAACATCCTAGAAAACCGCGTATCGCCTATTTCTTTCGCTGATATTACATGGAGCGCGGTTTGCGGCACGGGCTAGTGACAAATTCATATTAGCAATTTTTTAAAATACAATATATTGAGTCATCTAAAAAGTATCCGCGGTTTTTTGTTACCAGACGTGTGTTGATGGTCATATATCTAGTGACAAAGTACCTAATATTAGGTTTGTTCGCGTTGCATGAACTTTTGCATTAAGTGTACACTAACTCGTTTTTGTTGCCGGTCATAACCGCTGTTCGTGTTACTAGTGCAGCTACACTTTGGGCAACACTTTTTACCCTTGAGGAAGAGTAAAACGTGCAAAAATGGCTGAACGTTAAAATGATGAGTAGAGTGAAAAAGGTGGAAAGTATGAAGGTAATACGTAACCTCCTAGGTTAGCCTCTTACAGTTTTTATAGATTTTTAAGTTTATTGATAATTTTAATATAGAATTATTCTAATAAATAAAAAAAAAGTATAAAGAGCCAACACTAGTTATGTTAATTGCAATTATCTTAATAAAATTTTCATCTTGAAACAAAATAAACATTTTGACCTTCAAATGAAAGAGAAAGAGAGAGAGAGAGAGAGAGGTCATTCTCAGTATTTAAAAGTACAGTTTAGTTATTAGGTGTTGGAATTAATTCGTAGCGTTTTTAATGAAAGAATGTTATTTATTTCACATGAGCATTAAAAAATACATTAATGAAAGTACTTCCCATCACTTGTAAAACGCTACGAATTAATTCCAACACCTAATATATTTTAAACAAAACGTTGAAAGTAGCAACTAATAATTAACATTATTATACAAAATGTAATTAATAAAATTATATTTTGGAATATAATTAATAAAATTATGTTCCTTACACCTTGATGGCGCGTCAGTTTGTATGTTGCAGTGTTTAAAATGTATCGTTTGTTTAAAATTTAACTGTAATTTTAAATATTGAAGATGATTCTTTCCTCCCAATTTGAAGGTTTAAATGTTTATTTTTTTTATATTATATTTATATTATAAGAATTTTATAAAGATTAATTCCAACTGGTGTATTGGCTCTTTATGCTTCTTTCTTATATTATAATTTTATAGAGCTTTGCCAATTTATATTATATATAATTGATAAAGCAAATTCTATTGTCTTATTTTATTGTATTATCTACAAATTATTATACTATCTTTATTAATAATTTATTGCTATTTACAGCTGACTGAATTATAAGCATTATATCAAGCATTCTTGTATGTTCTGCAATAATAAGCATTTTCGTATATCTTGCATTTTTGTATATCTTATTGCATATCTGCAAAAAGATGGCAATATTACATGGATTTTTACAACTGGACACTTCAGAAAATATAAAAATTGATTTAAATGACTGTGTAAACTGCATAATTGAAGGTATTACAAATATTTTTCGAAAAACTTGTTTAACTTTGCTATCTATAATACGAGGGGTATCCAGAAAATAAGTTCCGTTTGTATTATACATTTAGTAAGGTCGATGTATGAGCGAGCTGGCAACACAGCATTGAAGAGGGGAAGCTACCGAATAGAATGAGCGGTGTTCGGCGTCAGTAGCTCGTGAAACACGGTCAGGAGAGGTTATCAAAATGGAGTCCTCCACTTCGCGTCCCGCCACCTCCATTCCGATTCCTTCTCGAGTTGTTTTGCGCGGCATCATTCAGTTTCTTTTTGCTCAAGATTTTAAATCCCTTTGGTGTGTCCCTTCTTCACGACAATGCTCGGCCGCACGTCGCTGCTTCAACAACTGCACTTTTGAATCAGTTTAGTTGGGATGTTTTGACCCACCCACCGTATAGCCCGGATCTAGCACCATCGGACTACCATCTTTTTACGAAACTGAAGGAGTCCTTGGCCGGAAAACGCTTCCAAAGCGACGAGGAAGTTCAGACAGCTGTAACTAACTGGACTAAAGAACTGGCGGGAAGTTTCTATGCAGAAGGGATTTCGAAGCTTGTTTCCAGATATACAAAATGTATTGAGATTGACGGGAATTACAGAGAGAGTTCCATTCAATTCTGCGCTATCTAAAATAATTTGTTTATTTTTAAAGATATACAATTAAAGAGATACAATTACATTTAAAATTTGCAATGAAATACAATTATATTTAAAATTTGCAAGAGATACAATTACATTTAAAATTTGCAATGATATAATAAGCAACTGCACGCGATAAACGAAAATGCATTACAAAGTCTTTTTCAATATAATTTTGAACAGTATTTTTGATGTAATTATTAACTTTTATATGATGAATACGATATATTCCTCTTAATTCTAATCGTAAAAAGTATAATACTTCGTTATCTAAAATTTAAACAAAAAGATAAAAATTATGATTTAGTCATCAATTCAATAAATATATTAAATATTTAGTATATATTTAGTAAAATTAAATATGTGAATACTGATATGTACTATTTCTATATATCATCATAGTATACTATGTACGGAAGTATTAGAACTGGTGGTAATAGTATTTCATCATCCATTATATTTATTATTCCTTCTAATATTTCACCAATATTTCTGTCTTGCGCTAATTTTAATAAATTTATGCATGTACATGGACGTTCGAGTTGTTTTGAATAAATAACTAAATGAATTAGTAAAAATTCTTTTACCCTAGTAAATTCACTAGAATTCAAGTGCAAAGAGTGCAAGCAACGCGAACAAACCTATTAATTTATTTTTATGCACACTTCATACTCTTATTTTTTAAACAAATTTACTTAATAATTGCGTTTAAATTAATTAATTCCATTAAAAAGTGCATAGCAGTATAGTAATGTGAGTTTGTTCGCGCTTCGTGTAATATCAGCGAAAGAAATAGGCGGTACGTGTGATACGCGGTTTCCTAGTTGCCTAGTTAGTTACTATTAGTTACTTATCGCGTACCGCGCTCCATGTAATGGATCGCACCCTTAAACTCGCCCATTAAAACAACCAATTATCACCGTTCAGAACGTAGAGTAACGCTGATTGGTTGCTTCTATAAGTATGTTTCGATATTCATTGCCACTGAAAATCTGGATGCGTTCGTTTATGCAGTTATTGCCGCAGATATTCGTTTATACCTGCTAAAGGACCTGCGCATAAGGGGGAATAGGAATAAATATTAGATATTAGGAATAAGAATTAAGCAGGGTTGACAACGTTACCTCATAAGAATAACTCGTTACCGTTAACGTTCTTTTTATTAAAAAATAATTCGTTCTCATTATTCATTTGCAAAAGTAACTCGTTACTGTTATTGTTACTAAAAAAGTAACGAATCATTACTTTTTCATTTTTTTTCTTAATACTAATAGAATATTATATACAGATTTTTGCGGTAAATGTAAAAAAGATGTCAAAATTCTATTTTTTAACAGAGAAATAGAGCTAAAAAAATATATGCCTATAATAAACATTGTGCGTTATTTTCATGAATGAAATAGATACTGTTATATCACATAATGTATACTGTATTGTTTGTAATTTTTATACTTAAATAAATTTATTTTTCGTATTAATTTTAATAAGATATCTTTAAATTATATAATATATTTAACTCTTAATACAAAAAAACCTAACGTTGAAATTTTTTGACTTACAGTATCGTTTTTAATATTCAAAAATTTAATTCGATGCGAAGTAATGTTCTATTCTGTAAACAAGCGCAGTACTCATATATTGGGTCATCTAAAAAGTGTCCGCGGTACTTTGTCACTAGATATATGACCATCAACACACATCTAGTGACAAAAAACCGCGGATATTTTTTAGATGACCCAATATAAACGAGATATTAATTTCTAAAAATTGTCAAATAAGCGGATAAAATCGACGTATAAGACAGCTTTAATTTTTCAGAGTTCTTTATGAAATATCTTGAAGATGTTTATCAAAAAAACTCTTAAAAATATCTTAAAATTGTTTTATGCGCTTAAACACTCAATAACGGCTGAATTGATTAAGTT